CACAGCAGCAAAATTATGCATTAAAAACGCGAATGGAAAATAAAAATTCGCATTAGTCACCCCATACAATGAATGTGTGTATAAATAAATATATGCGTATATATATAAATATATGTGTATGGCACATACATAAATATAAATATTTACATACAAAAGTATTTAAATTGCAATTTGCGTGTACAAAAAATACACAAATTTGGTGCAGGCGCAGATATTGACGGCATTCGGGGACTTCGATTTTTAAAAATAAAAAACGAATGCAGTTTCATTTGTGAGTTCTTCATGACTGTTGGATACCCTGTGAAAAGTGAAGGCACGCCATTTGAGTCGAACCAAATGGGTTTGAACCAGCAAAAGAGCAAGGAAATCGCAAAAGAATCATATTTTATTTACTAAAAAGAAACAAACAAAGACAACATTTACTTGTAGGACTGAAAGGCATTCGACTAGACTCCAAACTTATACCATATCTGTGGGGCAGTCGTGCACGCCCTTGCTGCACTTCAGTACAGGGTATAAGCAGCCATAAAGTATTGCCAGTGTATACACAATTTATAAACATTTAAGCTAATTTGAACGCATATATTAAAATGAATACATATTCATAAAATGCATTGCTTAATTTTGAGTTAAGACTTTCAGAGCACGAAAAAAAGAAGCCTCTTCATTTCTTCCCCCCCTTTTTTTGCAGCTCGTTTGACCCGATTGAGAACGAAAGCTTTTTAGAAAGTAGCCATAGTTCATGGTATTATAGAGAGTTTTGAATTGATAATGAACTGCCGCAGAAATGCGACACTAATTGCCACGAGCTCAAACTCGACTGCGAATAACCCCGTGATATAATCTTTAATTGCAGTCAATCAAACAATGAAAACGATTTCATTAAACGATTCCATTAACATTTTAAAAGCAAAATAAAAACTCATGTACCTAACTCAGTTCCGATTTGATACGGATTTTCATATCCCGACGAAGCCTCGAATACGTAATAATCCATATTGGGAAGTTAACCAACCAAATCCTATATATAGATGCATTCAATTGAAAGTTCAAATTCAAATCAAGCCCACTTTCATAAGTATTATAAACTACCTCTAGCTGTAAACAATATCTGAAAGTTTGTGAACGAAAGCGGAACAGAACTGGGGAACTGAGGACATCTGGTGACAAACACAATCTGCACAATTAAGCATTTGAAAATCGTATCGACTTTAGCAACAGACAACCTATTCATTTGTCTAATGGAAAAAAAAACTAAAACAAAAAACCGCACAATTTGAATGACAACGCGACAACTCGCTCGAGTAACTCAGCCAAAGGGCAGGCGACCCTTCATTAGCAAGTCGTGGATTCAACTAGCTGACACTATTTAAATATTTTCCAACTAGAACTGAGTACATACACACACACACACACACATATATATATATATATATATCTACATCTATATATCTATATCTATGTTCTAATTGTTGTATGATTGATTGATTGATACTGGACGCACAGGGAGTTGTTTCTTTTCGGAAAGTCAAGACGCAATTTCGAAAATTTCTTTACACCAACTTGGAGAGTTGGTGGAAAAAATCGTAGAAAACATTTATGCTCTGTACATGTTGTAACTGTATATATTCTTGGGAGGTTTTAACCATACAAGAGCTACAGACTTACGATCCTCCTATCTAACATATTCTCCCAGTTCAAACGCAAAACGAGGCTATCATTTTTTGTCAATAACTCGTGACATTTCAAAAATATTGTTTAAAATAGATTTCGAGACTTGGTTTTTTTTTTGGCATCGAGCTCGAAAACTATCAGAGCTAGTCACATTTCATTTGGAATTTAGGCTCAAGTAAGGTATGTATATGCAGATTGGGAATATTTAAATTTTTGACTAACTTCAAGCCTTTCAAAAAAATTGGTAAATATATATCTATATATCTATGCCATATCATGAAGAGCGGAAAAAACACAGACGTTTTTCAACACTGAATTCCCATAAATGTATCTTTAAGCAACTGCATAAGCTTAGGAATTCATATTGGGCTAGATTTTATGATTTGAAGAATCCAAAGCGTGGTCTAATTAACCCAAATATTAGATTGCCTGTGAAGTACAGGGTATTTTTTTGTCACCCACACTCGACTACAAATATAAATTGCAAAATGTCGAATAAATCTTTTGAAATTTTCTTCAAATAGCCCTCATCCTCATTTCATGCGAAAAATTTCAAGCTTAATGGCAGGAAAACGGATTTTAAATATCATAAATAATACTTTGACCGCGCAAAGCTGGGTAATACTTGCTTGTATCTGGTAGATACATTTGAAATGGTTGCATTTGAGTCGATTGAAGGCTTTAGCTTAGAACTGTTAAGAGTTACCTCCTCAACGACTTCCACCTCGTTGACAATGCCGAAGGGCTCATCGCTGGTCAAGCCCTCCACTTCGCAGGCATTTGCGACGCCCGAGCAGGCGGCTGCCTCTGCATCGGAGCTATCCTCGCCGAAGAGGCGACTCAACAGCAGATCCTCTTGCTCAGCCTCGTCCGCATCCGGTCCGAATTGCTGCACGGTCAGGCTGCCCGAATTGCTGGGATGTGGCGTGCTGTCGTTGAGCGCATTCGGAGCATCTGCCTGATGCTGACCCAGCGCATTGGCGCCGCCCGCAAAGCCATGGATAAAGGCAGCCAGGCTGAGATCCAGCTGGGTTGTGCTGTTGTGCGGCTGCTGCTGGCCATCCTTGAGCGGCAGATGGGCATATGGACTGCTGTAGGGCAGATCGCCATAGTCATGCAAGTCGGCCAGGTTCTGTTCCCAAATCGAACGCTGATCCTGCAGCAGGTCGGGCGACAGAAATATGTCCAGTTCGGGCGAGGCGGCCAGGGTGTTATTATTGCTCGTGGTATTGATGTGGATCTCACCAAGTCCTGACGCGCCCGCACCGCTGCCCGCTGTGCTGGCTGCCGCCGTGGAGCTGCCCACGCCCACGGAGCTGGCCGAGCTGGTGCCGCTGCCGGGAGTACTCTGCAAATCCTGCAGTGCAGCGGTCTGTACGCTGCTGTTGCCCGTCGTGTTGTGCAGATTCATGACCAGGGTGCTGGCATTAAATCTGCCCGTGGGCAGCTTATACTCCTTGCCGCCGCCCTCGCTGGCGCCCGCCCGATGATGATGCGAATGATGATCATCGTAGCGCAACAGATCCTCGAGCAGCGGCATCATGCCCTTGCGATTGCCATACGGCTGCTGCGTCTCAATCATGGGCACCGTGCGCAACATTTCCAGCTCCCAGCCAACGCCATGCGGCAGCTCCAGCTGCGCATCCCAGCGACGCAGACGCTGCTGCAGCAGCATATAGTCCGTGTCCACATGCAGCAGACTCAGGGCCAGCGCCAGCTGCAGCATTTTCATCGCATACGCCTTTTTGTTTGAGATCATTTTTGGTGCCGAGGTTAACAGCGAGATGCACAGATGACTGAGTAGATCTGAATGTGGATGTGGGTGGGTTTTGTGTTTGTTGTTGTTGTTGCTGCTGTTGTTGCTGTTGTCTTTAACAAGCGACAGTTGCTGATTCAGTTGGTTGTTGTTGCTGCTGTTGTTGACCCACCTCCTCCTCCGCCGCCGCCACCCTCTCCTCCTCCTGCGCCTCCACACGCCCGGCCAGACAACAGCGCGCTGGCTGCGCCGTCCGCGCGTTCAATGGCGTTTCCTTGCGGCGCTTTACTTGAGAATATATGCTCTATACATATATACAGCTAAATACATATACACACATATATATATATATAGATGTAGCTAGGTGTGTGTGTGTGTGTAAATCAAGCTGCGCAAAAACAAATTCGTATTTGTTTAAATCGCAATTCTCCTGCTAAAATGATGGTCACTATTTGTTGTTTTTGTTGTTGTTGATTTAATTAATAAATGTCCTTGTGTTCGTTTTGTTTCACTGCAAATATAAAAACATAAAGGTTAAATATTATTGTGTATTTAGTTAATCGGCGCGTCAAATATAATTTCTGTTTTAATGAATTGCTTTTGTGAATGATCAAAGAACTGGCCAAGGAAATGCATTAGGAAATAAGCACTCACACACACACACGCACACACACACACATATATAATTATAGATGTGCGTAGCTGTCTATCAATAAATGTTTCCGACTGCGAAATGAACTTCCTAAAACTGCGCGCATAATAAACTACTTAGTTAATGCATGTGTCCATTAAGGAAATTCGTATTATTATAGTTTATCGATTACTGTCGCATATTCCCATTCCGAATCGGCGCCAATCTAGCCTCATATCGAAGTTCACTTTGTAAATTGAATATCTTTGATCCTAGAGCTGATTTTAATTGTTATTAAAGCCTTTGCTTCGCATACTCAAATTAAATCCGACTTACAGATACCCTAAATCACGTTCGCACACACACACAATCGCAGCAGGCTGCGTAATTTACGCTGCGGCCTTTGCTTCTTCTTTCTTCAAACGCACACTATGGAAAATTGATTTGTACAGCTCGATCTTGATATAATATTCAGGGGACTTGATGTGGGCATTCAAATCGACATGTGTACACAAACCGGGAAATAGATTTTATGGCATATGTCATATATGATATAAGGTATATATAGGGTATATAGGGTATATCCAAATGGACGGACTAACTCAGCTTTTACAGGGTCTTGCTTTTAGCCTAAAAATGTGAATCGGCAGACTTGATATCAAAGATATTTTCATCTCTATTGGCTATCCGTAATTTATAAGAAAAAAATACTTTTCTCTTTATTTTAAATGGCTTTTTAAACTGTAGGGGTGGGGGGTGGGGCTACCCACCTTGGGACGCAGTTTGGGTGTATGTCTGGCTGCCCCCGCCACAGGCTCAGTTAATACACCCCCTCCCCCCCTGGCAGACGACACAGCCGACCAAAAATAGCGCAACACGCGGCTGCGTGAACTTGAACTTGTTCAAGGTCTTTGGTAAATTTCTGTGACACGAGGGGAGGGGGGCGAGCCGGTTATGAGGTAGGGGTACGAAGCACACACAGCAAGACGAATCAAGTTCAAGGAGAGTCGAATTTGTGGGCAACAACAAATTGGCAGAAATGTTACTCAAAAATGATATAAACATGCTTTGTTTAAAGACTGCAATCTATATGTATATGAGTGTGTGTGTGTGTGTGTGTGTGTGTGTGTGTGTGTGATATACTGTAAAATAAAACAATGTTCGATTAGCACAGACAAAATCACAAAAACAACTACAAATGCAGTTCTCAATAAGCTTTGATGTGACTCGACCAAATGGGCAAGGGTGAGTGAGAGTGAGATGCATATGTGTATGTGTGTGTGTGTGAGTGTGGGTGTGTGTGTGTGTTTGTGTTCTGACAGTGCACTCACCTTTTTCTCCACGAATTTCAATTCGCTTTTCGGCTACAAGAAGCGCTGTTGCTGCTGCCTGCTCGTGACTTCAACGGTAAAAACTGCGACGCAGTATTTGCTGCAGAGTGCTGTAGGTGAATGATATTTCACCGTTAAAACGCCAGCGCACGCAGTTGACGTCGCTGCCGACGATGCTGTCTTTTTCTCTCTCTTTCTCTCTGCTGCTTTTACAATTGCACGCGGCTTTTTTACGTTTTACGTTTTAATTTCACTTTTCGTTTATTTATCTGTTGCGTTTAATAACTCAACATTTGATAGGCTGCAAAAACGTTTTTTTTTTTCTATTCATTAAACAAAAATTAAATGAAATTGTTTCGTTTTTTATATCACCAATGCGTCAAACATTTGCTGACGTCCTTGAACTTGGCCAATGGACTTTCGTTCTATCACTTTCCAATGCGATTGAATATTTGGTTAGAATGTCACACACACACACACACACACACACACACGTGCACATGCTTGTTTGTGTGTACATATGCATGTCTGCAATTATTTGTTATTGCATTGCGGTAAAGCTTGAATGTTAACTGCTGTCACTGTTACTCTTCAGTTCACTTCGCTTCGCTCTCTTTATACGCACTGCGTATTTGCGTGTGTGTGTGTGTGTGTGCGTGTGTATGGTGAAATCGGCATTTGTTTAAAAACACACGCATATATTACTTTGTTGTTTAGCAATTCCAATGCTTCTTATGCTTTATGCCTGCACATCGTTATTTATTTTATTGTTTGCTTTTATCGCCATTTTCTGTGTTTTGCCTCTTGGCCAGTCTCTGACTCACACCAACAACGCGTCTGCTGTTTTTTTTTTTTGCAAGTTTCTTTATTCTCTCTCACACACACACTCACACACACATGCGTGCGTACATCGATGTGACAACAATTAGCTCGTACTTTTAATTAAATGCAAAATGATTACATTTTTATGGCAATCAAAGCTCACGCACACACACACACACACACACACACACACAACTCAACATGTCATATGCATAGCAAAAACACAACACACGGCAGCAGCAGCAGCAGCAACAGCCGCTGCCGAAGAACAACAGCGATACACACACTCGCTGAGAGAGACAGAGAGAAATGCAGTGTAAACAGCAGACTAAAAATTTATAGAAAAAAATTAAACATTGCTTTTTGTGCGGCCGCTACTCGTGCATAAATAGAAACTTCGAGAACAACAATTCGTAAGCTTGAACTTTGCTTCCGAACTGTGTTTATTAAACAATTTCATTTTGGCAGCAATTTCATAAGTTCCATGCAGCTTGCAACATGTCAGCTGAGCGCCGCAGCAGAGAGCATATTGCTGAATTGAGTGGCTTTGGCTGTTGCTAGCCTGTTGTTGTTCACCACATCACAATGAGGTTGCATATGTCTTTAGATTTTTGGTGTATTGCAAATTTGCTTATTGTAAAAGAGCAATGAAAAACACGAGTTTATAAAAGTTGTTACGCTTAAGCACACACAACCATACGAAAGGCCCTATTTAAACACACACACACACACACATAACATTTAGTTTTCTTATATTTTGCACTTTTACGCGGTTTCTTTTGCTTATTATTCGCCTTTGAGAAATTATTGCGACTTTCTCTGTGTGTTGCGTATTCGTTAGCTTACAAAGGTAGAGCCAATATATTAGCGCACAAACATACATAAAAAACGTGTTTTTATTGTTAACTTGCGTTGGTTTTCTTCTTTTCACAATTTCTTCACGACTCGGCGAACGCCTGACAGACGTCTGCTCACCGCGCTTTTAAAACAACAAATACGATTTATAGCAATTATGGCATGTCTCTGCTATAAAGCAGAATGCTGTTAAGCTTACAGTAGCCGATTAACAGCTGTTATCGCTGGCGCATTTTATCGATTATTACTCAAATTGGCAATGTTAAAGCTCAAATGAGCTGTCAACTGGCTGTTATTGCTCAGTTGAGCTGTTGCTTTTGGATTTTACGTGAACATAAGTTTGGGCGAGGTGAAAAGTGTAAGAAATAACAGAGTAGATAACTAGTATAGCTTAATGCACACAAAGCTCAGAAAGTGGTGTGATGTGGACAAAAAGCTTTTTCTGTGCTTTTAACACTGCTGTTGTTTTGAAGTTGAGTGCTATAACCTCTGATAATTTTGACATACTTTGTGCCCGCAATTTACAGGTGTAAATAAATATTTTAATTTAGCTACAGGTTCCAATTAAAGTACAAACTAAAACTTACCAGCGTTTTGAAATTAAAACCAAAGCAATGCATATTCCGTTGAGTTGTTGACGTTTCCAAAGGGGCCTTTGGCGTTGTAGGCTTTTCTGCTATTGTTGCTGTTGCTGTTGCTGATGCTGTTGTTGTTGTTGTTGTTGCGGTTGGTAGCCTGGACGGCGTTTTAGCTACAGTTGGCTTTATCAGGAGCTTCGGCATCGTCTCGAGTGGCTTAAAAGCTTTCAACGCCTTCGGATTTAGTTGGGTTAGGGTCGGGCTGTAGTCCTCAAACTCCTTCACGGGCGACAGCGATTGCATTCTCGGTAAATCCTCCAAATCGATCATGGTGTATTTTCATTTACTTTTATGAGTCAGCAACTGAATATAAACAAAAACACTGCTCAAGCTACAGGGTATACACATGTATATATATTTATATGTATGTATGGGTTTTCTATATGATTACAGTCTACGCAATTATCAAAGTATGATAATAAATGTGTTCCTCTGTTTGTTATCAATTTACATACACATACGAATAGCTTCACATATGTATGTATGTAACCATCTTTATCAGCCATGCCCACCGACAACCCACAGGGGGCCGGCTTCCTTTCGCATTTCCGATTCCTAGCGCAGGTAGGGTTTATATGTGACCAAAACTTTGTACACTCAAAAAAAAAAAGAATGCGTCTATTTGAAAAACTTTTCATACAGTATAATGCTGTGTCCTTCTTCCACTTGCTGGGAAATAAACCTAAATATTAATATGATATAAGCTAAATATACCCCCATCTCACAATCCTTCGCTTCAGAAAACAAATTGAAAGTAAAAAAAGTAAGGTTCGCCGAAGATTTAATGCCCTAACAGAGTTTTTGCCTTACGCTTTTGCAGATATGATAATTTCGTAGTTCTTAAATACAGAGTTTGATCAGAAACATCTTGAAAAACAGAACCGATTATTCCTGATATAGTCCGATGTTGAAAGGATTTTGTTTACATATGAAACTAATTAATGCCCAGATTGGTCAAAATATCTTAATAAACAAACGAGTTCTTCATAGAAGAACCTACTTTTCGACCGATCGTTCCTATGGCAGCTAAATGATATAGTAGTCCGATCCAGCTGGTTCCGTTATAAGCGATAGCTTTAAAACTGAGAGACTAGTAGACGGACAGACAGATCGACTCGTCTGTTGATACTGATCAAGAATATATATACATTATGGGCTCGGAGATGTCTGCTGCTATGCGTTACACATTGCGAGAGATAGCTGTGATACCCTCTGCAAGGGTATAAAACCACTACGCATATATTAGATAGGGCAGTGCCTAATAAAGCATACCCCATTCTAATAAGACTTATGGCTGTGCGGCGATAAGATCGTTGTTAAGTCGAAGTATTGATAAGTTTTTCGTTGTTATTTTGATAAGACAAGTTCGACTGTATAAAATACACGTGTACCTTATTATATGTATGCACATATATTAAAGAAGCATTGAAATATGCAGATTTTAGTTTGATATATATTCTATTAATTCAGCTGAACTCTTAACAGTTTTTCAAACGAGTTAGCACAGAAATTGATCAAAAATCCCCCTTTTCTAATTCCCATATATAATAATTCATATCTCTGGAGGACTCGAGGCGCATCGATTTTGGTATTCGAGAGAGTTCGGCAGAGTTTATGTATACCATGTGCTAATTAATTAAATTTAACTGGGATTTCTTTTTTTTTTAATCTACAAACCGGTTTAAGATCTTAAGACTCTGCATTCAACTGCTGAAATTTTGTTTTGTTTATAAGAGGCAACGATTTTATAGCTGCGCTTTAATTGGTTCTTAAGGTCTATAAATAATATAATATATGTATGTATATATGTATAAAGATGTCTGCTCTCTGATCTTTAATGTTCAGTGCGTTTCTTTGTTGGCCTAGGCTCTAGCTTTAAGTGGGCTTTTTGAGCGTGATTCAGGCGAAGCTTTTTGCCAGCTCTGTAAATAAAGTGCGTATTTAATGGATCATTTGGAAAGTTTAGAGATGTTTGCAAACGCGTTTCTTCAATTCAAGATTTATCCAATGCGTTAGACCTACTATTTGGCAAAGCTTTGGAAGCTTTTGATACTTTCGGCAGCTATGCAAATGATGAAATTGATTCACGTTCAAAAGATATTGACCGTGTGGGGCCTCTCAAGAGCATGTCAACAAGGCAAATTAACTGAGCTTTTCAGCGTCTGTGCAAAACCTGTTTTATATATATTTTTTTGTTTTTTTTTTTTGTGTTTTTTATTTTAGCAAGTCCCGCGAAGTACCTTATAAACAAACATGTGGGCTGCGAAATCCCCATTTGATGTGTCTGAACACGTACGTTCGTACAAAACAGGCCCATATTTACGTAGGCAATTACCTATTTAAATATACGTGTATACCCTATAGGGAGGGTACAGTCGTACTTGAGCGAGCTGGAGCTGGAGAATATAATGGGCCATGATCGTGTCACTAATATTAGCACTCGCTCAATAGGCAAATAGCCAGCCTGTAATTAGACATGTCAACGTAGACGACACATGTTTAACCATATTACTGGAATCTTAGGGAAATCAAGCGGATATAGAGTAGTTATTATATTTACAATTGTGGCCTGTAAGATATGCTTGAAAGAACCGCTAGACACTAATTAAAATGTTCAATTTGGCATTTTCCATTGCGATGCTATTCTCGGTAATAACAAATACAAATGAAATGTTTATTTTTAATTTGTTATACCCTGGATGTGTGTTTGCATAGGCTATACATGGATGGCGAGTGCGTATGCAACAGCTCGAAGAGGGCAACTCTATTGCTGATCTAGTCAGATGGACATGATATGGAGCATACCATCTGGTCTTGGCTTGCAAACAATGTTATTTCAGAAGTCCTATTTTGTTATAGTAATAGTAATAATACGAATGCTAATAATAATAATCTATGTACATTTTGCATGTCATTTGAAACAGAAATGTATTATTTTTAAAGTATTTGTCAAACACATTAACCGCCTACTGCACAAATTGCTGAGGCATTGATAACGATAAACGCATTTGATTCATTTAAAATTATATTGATTCTATTTTTAGAGTCTGTTTGCTATTCGGCAGCCTGTTACAGGGTATCTGCTGGTTGACACGGACACTATGCATATTTTTGGGGCTTTTAGGTGGGCAGTTAAGGGCATTCCAAAGAGCAAAATATACGCGATGACCACATGCCGGTAATTTATACGAATGCCATTTAACTATGTACATAGAAGAGGCTCTGTTTACAGTGCGGATGAAAATTATTTGCAAAGCAATAAACACAGACATACACACTCATGTGTGTGTGTGTGTGTGTGTAGATTTTAACATTATTATGGCGATCACTGGGCGGGCGATGCACTGGGCGGGCGATATAAAATGTTTCCACTGCACAAACACATGTAGTCATAAGCACACACACACACACACACGCGCGCACACACACACACACACACACACACACACGCAAGCGTCTCTCTACACGCGCTTAGTTTGTTGATTAATAATATAAAGGAAGGGGCGCGAAAGAGTTGACAGCGAACTTAACTAAAACGGCGCAATTTTCGGATTGCCACTTCAAAGATGTACAAATTATAATACATACATAGAAGAACAGTTGTTTTTTTCAGTTTTATTTTCAATTGTTTACACTTTTGTTATAGTGTTTTGTAGTTGTTGTGCACTCTTTTTTGAATACAAGAGCTTTTTACGTAGTTATAGTTGGTGTTTACGTCAGTTTCAAAACAACATTCCACAGGTGCTATAAATGCTTTAAGAGAGCAGCGACGTGTTGGCGTTTACAGTACGGTTCACAATATACTGAGCGGCCATTGTGGCGAGTAGCGCAGCGAATGCCGCTAATCGGTTCGGTCAGCTGGTCGGCGCCGACGATGCGCAAGTTGTCCTCGGCCCGCGCCGCAGCACACGACGAAGCGACACGCGACGTTGATTCACAATAACAACGTCAGCTGAATTCAAAACAACAAGTGCACAGAACTCTCTCCCACTCTCTCTCTCTCTCCCACTGTATTGCTGCTGATATTGTTGACGAGAGAGCGAGCATGCGAGCGCCCGCGTGCATGTGTGTGTGTGCGTATGTGTGTATTTGGATAAGAGATAGTATTAATTGAGCTGTTTGCCATAATTTTCACAACGCTGTCAAATATTTTTACATAAAAAAACAAACAAGCAATGATAAAGATAAGAGTATAAAGTAGCTACACTTACAGGCACGCTGTTAATGATAAGAGCATAAAGTAGCTACACTAACAGACACACTGTTAATGTTGTTTATAAGAAGAGCAGGCTGTTAAGTCCCATTGCTTAATATAGCTTTTAGAAGAAAGTTGTATTATCTTATCTGAGTTGCCGACAAAAATGTATAATCGGTTCAGCTGTTGAACATAGGGTATATTCAAGTCGTTTTCAACGCAATTTATCAATATTTTTTTTATTCTTTTACTTTGCGAGCTATCAACATTTAAGATTGATAAGCGTATTCGAATGAGGTTTTCCCAATGAAGGTCAGCCAGATAATGAATAGTTGTAATATGTTTTGTATTTAATGAAATGCAGCCTATATTTTTGTTACATATTAATTATCATTTTATTTATATGCATTCCCATTTGACTTAGTATACATAAATATATATTTTCATACAATTAGATTTACGTCTTTAAAGTTGCTTTGCCTGCATTCCATATACATACATAGATTCTTCTACACAAATTTCTTATAAAAGGTGTTTTCAATACAAATACAAATTCATATTAGGTTTAAGCTTAAAGAACAGTCGCAAATAAATTTTGTCTAATAAAATTAACTAGAATTTTGAGAAACAGTACATTTTACATTCTTCTTCTTAATAGGGATTTTCGGGTAACTTAAACTGTGATCAATCCGAAATGTGAACAAAATGCATACAATATGTGGACGGATATGCGCAAGTATACAAGTAGATATTGGATATGGATGAAGCCAAATCAAGTTGAATTGAAAACCAAATAAATATTTACATTGAACCCACTGAAAGCTCAACCGGAATCGAAGGATAGTTCCTTGTATGTCACTCAACCGTAACGCATTGTATTTTATCTTGAAGTTATCTTTTTTCTTCTTTTTCTAGGTAGATGATTTTGTAAAACTTTCTAAATGTTGACTTTAAGTGTACGTTTTGTATTCGGTTGCTGTATGCTATTTAATTTTTGTTACATTATATATATATATATTTTTTTTTGTGGGTTTATACATTTCTCGAAAACAGTAAAATCGCTCCAAAACTTGTTTCTGGTTAGCTACTAAAGTTTGTTGCATTTGTAATCCATATTTAAGAATTATATTGATTTACTGATATCTCTATCATATTTATATGTGTGTAAATACGCGTATCTGAGCAGATTGACATTGTTCTTTTGTTTTTGTTTTGCAAAACATGTACGAGTGTCTTTGAGTTAGTCTTAGTTAAAAACCAAAGAGCAAAAACAAAACAAGATCTCGATCTAGCCGCAGCAAACAAGTCTGAAATATGAATTAGCATAACAAAGTAAAAGACGAAGATTCTTCAAAAAAGTAAACCAGAATGGATCGCCAGATCGAGATTGAGTTGCACAGCGATTCTGGGTTTATGCTGATAAACTTGGCCAGACATGCCTACATATATATATATATATATATATATATATATACTAGCTAATCAAGCTTCAAGTGCTCCGCGGTTATCAGCGCTGGTTTATTTTAAATGCCAGCTCTTCAACTGAACAAAAATTAAAAATAAAATAAAGTCAAGATGTGCCATGCTTTCAGCTGAGATAAGTGCCAGCTGTTTGGCTTACCAAGTTTCGTAAGCTCCATAATTGATAGACCCCCTCCCCCGAAGCCGAACAGTGGCACAAAGTTGTCCAAAATGAAGTACAGGAAAAGCTCCGTTAATCCGCACAGCTACCTTGGTCTGATATCCCCTGATATCTGCAATTTTATTTTGGTTCCAATCTATTGTTTAATAAATTTTACTTCGCTTAGACTTTGCTAATGAAAATCGTTTCTTAAACTTGTGAAAAATTGAATAATAATAAACTTTTTTTGGAAATAGAAAAGTTCTTAAATATTCCTTTTGGAGCAGAAGAAAAAATAACTGTTTAACTGTGCCCGTTCAAGTTAGGTCTCACTGTATCTAGCGGTAACTGAATGCACGGCCCATAAACTGTGTGACCATATGTTAAAAGTTTATAAATACACACGTAATTCTATCGATAATAATGTCAATAATTTGTTGTGCATAAATAAAAAGTGTCGAGAGTTTTGGCAAAATTCTTGCTCTATGTACATATGCATGTCGTATGCCTTTATGGAGTTCACATATTGCAAGTATCTTTTTTACTGCTTTTTTTTTTTTTTTTTTTTTTGGATAAGGAAGAGTTCTGTGATATATCAATGCGCACACATACATTTACATATACACACACATACAGCTTAAGAAACGAGTCTTACGTCAAAGAATATGCTATACATTTATCATAATTTGTTTATAGATTGTTTTTTTTTTTTCTTGGTTTTTTTCTTTTGCATGTGTTTTATATGTTTTTGCTTTTTTTCTTTTGAGTTTTGCTGAAAAAATATGTTAATTTGTTTTGTCTTACAGGCTATATTACTTTTCTCTAAATATGCTTCCTTTTGTAAAATATACATACATATACAATATAGATATATCTTTATGTTCAGTTGTAGATAATAGAAAATGGCATCAGTAAGTATGCGTATTTCCCATACAATTTATATATATACTTAAGAGATTGGTGTGTGTGTTGCTTTCCTAATTTACAGTTGAATTTCATTTTATTGCATTAACTGAATCCCAAATTGGAAGTAGAACCAAATACAACTAATGGAGATCTCAAAACCCTGTCGATAGGTAATCGCAAAGTGGTAAGTGTATGGCAATGATATGGTAATTATTATTTAGTAAGTACTTTAAATAATTATATATAATTAATTAATTCATTGATTATTTTCGTGTGTGTGTGTGTGTGTGTGTGTACTCGTGCAAGGAACATAATTACAAATAAATTGGGGAGCAGCGCTTCCAGCCCCAAGACCACAGAACATAATTTAACTAAAATACGAATAGTTCTATTTACTTTCGAGACGCAATGCTCTATCGATGCGAATGCAAATTACTTTCCACCCATTTATAGAGCGCCGTCTGGGATCTGGCCACCCATTCCACATTGGAGGCAACGCTGCTGAGCGTCATATTCAGCACGGACATGCCCTGACCACGCCCAAAGCGATGTACCAAGGACTTTAGCTGTGGGTGCAAAAATATTTATAAATCAATTGAAGACATATTTTAGTATTTGACATCGCCTACCTCATCGTAATCGAATTTCGTTGCGCCATATTGCGTTATGGCCGATATCACTTTGGCGAAGCTAATGGTGCCCGCGCCCAGACGCTTCTCCAGCTCAAACCATTTGGCCTGCAGAAAGCGACAGGCCATTGCACCGCCGGTGGGCGTGCCCGCAATGGCCTTGAGCACCTGTACCACCTCCTCGGTGGGCAGCATGGTGACATGCGATAGCAAGCGATTCTGCAGCCAGGCATCCTTGGTGCGCCCCAAGGCGCGCAGCAACTGCATCCGCTCCACAAAGGTCTCCGAGGTGCGTTGCAAGTTGACAAAGCGCTCCCAGCAATGCTGCCAATAGATGTACTCGCCGGATAGTATAGAGCCCGTGTAGACCACCTGAAGAACGTGCCACATGTTAAGAACGTGCCAAGTGCCCTCTGATCAAGCTTACCTCACGCAAATTGGGCGCTATGGCGGATCCGTTGTAGTACAAATATTGATTCAACATATTCTTCGCCTTCGTAATGCTGTCAATGTCCTCCCACAGCACCGAGGCCAGGAGCACCTCGGGCCGCATTAGCCTAATTCGGCGGGTATTATGTATATTTCAGTTTTATACCAAATGTAGATTCACATTGTAGCTCACCTGCTGGCCACATCGCCCTCATCGGTCCAGCCCACCTTTTCCATGACCGTGGATAGCTTCATTTTGATAAACTCGCTGAGCATCAGGAAACATTCCGAGTACTTGAGTATGCGACGCCATTTCTCCAAGTGTCGCACAGCCAATGCCATTGGACCGTAGTGCGTCTCACTGGGCAAATATTGGATCATATTCATCGTAATCTCGCAGGGCAACAGGTTCGCATGGCACAAGGTAAACGCATCCGAGAGCAGGCCGAGACGATCCTACGGCGACATTCCATGAAATTAAATTTAAGTCCACATTTCATTTATATATCCATACAAACCTCGCTGCTAAAACGATTCGGATTGTTGGACAGCTCCTCGATGAGACTAGCCCAGTTGTCATCGTTGTAGACAACGCGATAATAGCCATTCTGTATGGCATTCACCTTGATCCATTTCACATTCTCCGGCACATTGAAAGTTACTGAAAATGCAAGAGCCAACATTTGTGTTATGTTTAAAATCAGGAAAATTTCTATTCATCATATTTCTTGTAGCGAATCTCTTGATGAGAGGATACACTCAGATCTATGATATATCTATCAGGCTTCAGCTCAGTCCGGTTAGATTTCAGAAAGGTCTAAAGTAGGTCTTAGGTGCTTTCTCTACAGAGTTTATGCAGCGACTCTAGTCAAATGAGGGCTTGATGTCCTCCAACCCAACGTGATTCGAGCTACTCACCATCGATGTTCTGCATCCAGAGCGTCTCGCTGACATTGTTGATATCGGTGACATATGTAACCGGAAAAATCCATTTGAGATGCGGCACAGACTTGTGCTTGCTGGCATGGGTGGGCGCCACGGTGCTGGGCAAGTCGGTGGCATTCAGTGTGGTCTTGTTGTAGTTGTTGCCATCGTAGGATTCATCGTGAATGGCCAGAAAGTCGGCTGGCTTGAAGGGTCGCTGCGATATGGATATGGTGTTGCCCATTTTGGTAACGGTGAGCAGCGGAAATCCGGGCTGATGTGTCCACAGCGTCATCATGTCCTTAATGTTCTTGGAGCCATTCGCCTTTTTCGTGCATATGGTCCAGAGATCCGTGGGCTCGGCGGTCTTGAAGCGGTTCAGCTTGAGGAAGGTGCCCAGACAGCCGCGGAAGCGATCCTCGCCAATGGCCGTGTGCAGCATGGAGAATATAGCTGCCGTTTTCTGGACAAAGAACTCCTCGTTGTTGCCATCGTGCCGGGTGCCGTTCATGATGCTGTCCCAGCCCTGAATGGCATCAATGTCCAGCGCCGCATTGGCCATCTTCAGCAGGTACATCTCGCGCAGGGGCCAGCTGTCTTGGAGTGGAGCCAGCGCATGTATGCCCAGATATTGAATGAGACCCTCCCACAGCCAGACATCCTTGAGCACCTTGCGCGAGGTGATGCCGCCGAAGAACTGACGCACCATGGCCTCGGCAATGCGCAGCGCACTGAACTGATACTGCTCCGAGGTAATGGAATGGGGATCGGTCAGAAAAGAAGTCTTCAGCGTAACCAGACCCAAGGAGGAGATCAAATTGCGGTCCAGCGAAGGCAGCGCCACAAAGTCCACCTTGGTCAGAGGATAGCTGATGTCCAGCCAGGTCTGCAGATACTCCAACACATCACGGGATGTGTGCAGAATGAAGGAGGAGCGCGGCAGCAAATCTCTGGGCGCATAAAACGTATACGATGGTGCACGCTTAATGGACGAGCCGGTGGACTGTGACAAGGAGGTCAGATTTGTGGGCTTGCCATTCCCATTGATGGTCATGGGCAGCGCTGTGGTCGTCGAGCTGCTGACATTGTGGAAGGGCGTCAAATTCACGTTGAGCGAGTGCGTCAGAGCCGTAATATTGCGCACCGGCGGATTTTTGCTCTTCAGCTGCGTGTAATTGTTCAGCTGTGAGGGCTTCTTGCCGCTGCCGGCGGTGGCTGGAGCCACCGTGGTGGGTATGTACGCAGCCGAGGGTTGCAGCGATTCCCGCTGAAAGTCGCTGACCACCCAGGCAACAGCATCGGCGGGCAATGGTGGCGTCTCGATGAAGTCGTCACGCAGCTAAAATCAGGGTACAAACAATTGGCAAAACCCCATGTGATGCCTGTGGAAGTGCACTTACCAGGCCTGTGCCCATATAGAAGCCCACATCCTCTGTGGTATGCACTATCGAATTGGATAGACCTATATGGAAGCGATCACGAAATACCGAGATGCGGAAGGGCGCGCGCACGTGCGGTTCATCAAAACATGGAAAGGCGCGACGTGCGCCATTTGGTCTGAAGACTGTGGCTGCCAGCAGGCTGTAAAGGATTACGGATTACTCTCGTGAAGTCGAATCAGCTTCCAGCTTCACAAAAATGTAT